AATTGGCGCCGTTTTGTTTTTTCTTTCGATTTCCAAGGTACTCCGAGGAACCGATCTTCCGTGTCAGTCAGGAGATAGGTGTATAACAGAGGATCTCGTTATTGCAGTGTATTTTAAACACGAGATTTAATTTTACCCTTTTTTCTTCTTTACAAAGTTTCAGTTAATCGAATGAAAAATTGCCACCGTACATAGCAATTTTTGTCTCCTACATACTTTTTTTTTTTTCCAAAAAAAAATAAAGGAAAAGAATTGAATAGTTGGTGAAATATAGATAATAGCGTGTGATCGTAACGCGACGATAAAGTTTGCAAAAGTGGCAGAGAAATAATAGTTGGACAGAGTTGAAGAAGGAAACTGGTAAATTGTTGCGAGATGGAAAAGAGAGGCGCGTGCTCGGCAGGTAGACAATGAGACTCATTGAGAGGGCTCTCAGACGAGCATGGCGTCGCTTGTCAACGTGAGAGCTTCGAGTTTTCGCAATCGACCAGGTTGGCCCTCGATTCTTAGCCTTCTCTTTGTCCTCTTTTCTTTTTATACTCTTCCTGCCCTTTATCGTCATCCTCTCTCACCTATTTGTATTTTATAGAAATTTCATCTGGTTTACGTACGATCGATTTTCTTTTTGTCGTTGCTATAGTTATTCGAGGAATGATGTAGCGTATGGAACGAAGGTTGCTTCGATGTGAAAATAATAGCGATACATGTGACATAAGAAACGTATGGATAATTAGATATTCCTGGAAATCATCCTGTCACATTCGGAAAAAACTGTGACAAAAAGTTCCGATCTGCATGTTGCATTAACACCTTACATGCTTCGAGGATATGTAGATTAGGTGGAACTCGAAGAAATTGCGTTAGGACTGTGTTGCTGTGAGACCACATTTTCTCTTGAAAATTACTCTTTCTTCGAACGTTCTTATATTTCATAAAAATTCGAAACTCTTTTACCTTTATCAATTCTTTTCATCCATGCTTTTCCTCTCCAAACTTTCTCAAACTTCCTCTTTCTTTAAACAATCTCATACTCTGCAAAGAATTTCCAGAATTTCAGGCTCTCTTCAACCTTTCTCAACTCTTTTTTTCTTCAAACCTTGTCAAACTTTTTCTTTCTTCAAACAACCTCATTCCTTGACAAAGGATCTTCAAAATTCCAAATTCTTTTTATCCATATTTTTCCCCTTCAAACTTTCTCAAACTTCCTCTTCCTCCAGACAACGTCTTTGAACTCTTTTTCTCTTCAAACCTTCTCAAAGGATTTTCAAAATTTCAAACTCTTCTACTTCTCTCAACCCTTTTTCTTGATACTTTACCTCCTCCAACTACCTCAAACTTCTTCTTTCTTCAAACAACCTCATACCTCACAAAGAATCTGCAAAATTTCACTTTTCGACCTCTCTCAACTCTTTTGTGCGATACTTTTCCTCTTCAAACCTCGTCAAACATTCATTTGTTCATCGAACAGCCTCATGCCTTGACAAAGTATTTCCAAAATTCCAAATTTTTCGATCTCTCTCAACTCTTTCTTTCGATTCTTTTCCTCTTCAAACCTTCTCAAACCTCCTTTTCCTCCAAACAACCTCATTTTTCCACAAAAGATTTCCCAAATTGCTCTTCTATCTCTCTGAACACTTTTTCTCGATACAAAGTATCTCCATTGATCCATCCATTGACAAAGTATCTCCAAAATTCCAAACTCCTCAACTCTTTTCTTTTTCCCCTTTTTCCCTTCCTTCTAGATTCCTCCCACGCCTGTCCGCAACTTCAGACATCGTCGACGCGACGACACCTCGACGTACACGCGAAGGTCCCCACTTCTTTCCACGGATGACCTCCCGGTGGTCGCGTTCGAACTGCTTCGCAGGGATAAATGTACACTTGGCGTCGACCACGAGGCTTTTAGCGACGCCAGAACGATACGCCGTCTCGTCTCGTCGCGTCGCATCGTGCATCGTTCACAGTCATCTCCTCGATCCAAGATCGAACAGTCCTCTCGATTCGATCGCTTCGACAGGGATGAAAGGACTCGTAAGTTCTCCATGCGCCGTAGTGAACCTTCGATTAGGGTGACTTTCCTTCAAGACTCGCCGGTACAACTAGAGTGAGAGATGGCTTCTGAAATAGGGTGAAAGTGTACAGTGTGTATGAAAATGTATACATGAAGAGTTTTGCAAGGTTTTGATGAATGAATCCATATGAACTTGTTAATCCAGCCAGGTTTATAACTTCGTTATTATCGTGTAAGTGAGTGACTTTAAGTTAGTGAGGGTTGAAAGGGTTAATCGAAGGATCGGAGGAATTTCTCGAGTTTCTGTCGGTTTGCTAGTGAAAGTGAAAAGATCCTTTCGTTTCTTTCTAACCACACAAGTGAGAGTATGCTGAACGTAAAAGTCGAAAGGGGTTGATTTAACCCTTCCATTCCCACTTGAGTATTCAAACAAAAATTCAACCATTACACTGGTCTATAAATAAGAAATTCTCAAAAAAATAATTCAGTCACAAAAAGGTTAGAAGAAAAATGAAGATTCCGAGAAGATTGCAATATAAAAAAGGGCGATTTATGAGCAGAAAAACGCGAGTTTCTCAGGTGTCGATCGATCGTGCTCGAGTTGACTATCGAACGTTCAAGGTCGCAGGATCGGCGAGCGATCGCGGATGACCTACTACTCCGCATGAATAGCCTTTCATGCTGGGAGGAAATACGTAACGCGAAGACGTAACACGTGACCGTGAAGTCGACAAATGAATTGCACGTAAACGCTCCGCTGGTAATGCCGCTTCGGCATGATTTATCGAAACAATGTAACGCATCTCTTAGACTAACGAGATGCTCCTTCGATCGACCAACATCCCTCGTAACCTCGAATCACGCTCGTTTCGCTGTCATTGTCGTTAAATCTCAGTACAGTCATTCGAAACTTGGAAAACTTGAGCAGCGATGAAATAGCAATGGTTCACTGTCCTCGATATTTGACGAAGGAGGGAACAAACAGGTGTTCAACCGTTTTATCGATCTGTTTCGATCAGAGCCATAAACACTTCTCTCCATAAGTGTAATAAAAATTGTTAGCGATAAAATACGACTTTGTGTTTTATTTTTATTTGTTCATTTTTTGTTAGAAATGTAACACGATTTTTGTTAAATATGGTTTGCTTCTTTTTTGTTTCAGATTATGTTCCCCTGGATTTTCCTCGCGTTACTGTCCCAAGTTTCCTGTCAGCTGGACCTACCACCTTTGAACGAAGATTCTCGTAACAGTGTAGGAAGACAGTTTCCACCTACCGATGCAGAGTTGGAGGATATTCTAGCGAGATTAGATTTTCTGGGCACCGAGAGGTGCAGTGCTAATGTCGGGGCCCAGTGGGCCTACGAAACAGATGTAAATGAGTACACGCAGCTACAGGCGGTGAGTAAGATTGGTCTTCGTCGTTATCTTCGATTTTAGGAATTTAGTACTGAAACACCCGCATTGTGGTAATATTTTGGGCAAGGTGAAAGTGGAAAAATGGTCCCACAGTTTGTGTATCTCTTAACTTTCCTTTGCTTCGTGATTGAAATCGCTAATTAATCCTGGAGGGTGAACTTTTTTTTTTTAAATAGATGTAGGCTCTCTTGAAATTCATCTAAATTAATAACGAGTGCTTGAGTAAGATTAGAGAATTGTTTGAAGGTCTTATCTTACTGAGTAAATTTTGTTTGATGAAATTGCAAGTGTACAATTTTCCAAAATAATTGTTTAACGTGATCTATATGTGGTAGAATTATGGTTCGAAGTAAGAATATTTTGAGCACTATAAAAATGGTTAGGTTAGGTGATTATCTCTTAATTTTCTCTTCCTCGGTGATTAAAATCGCTAATTAATTCTGGACCATGAATTTTTCTAAATTAAATATGGAATCTCTGAAACCCTACTTCTCTAAGATTCTCCAAATTAAATATAGACTGTCATCCGCCCCAAAAAAATTCTTTACCATGATCTATACGTGTCGGAAAGACGATTCGAAGTAAAAATATTTTGAGCACCCTAAAAATGGAAAAATTGTCCCATTTTCTCTCCCTACATATGATTAAGATCGCCAATTAATCCAGAACCATCAGTTCTTTTCCACATTAAATACGGAATCTCTGAAACCCTGCATTTCTAAAATTCCTCCAAACTAAATATAGTCCCTCGTCCCAAGAAAAATCTTCGACATGGTTCACGCATGTAGAAGGATGGTTCGACGTTTCTCGATGGAGGAGAGACCTCGACCTCCTCTACGAATCGGCTCGTGAGACCGTGGAAACGTGATCGTGCCTGTTGAAGGCACGAGGGAATCTCGATTTCGCGTGCACCAGGCATTTGTTCGCCGTTGGCCGGTCTTTATTATCCGCGAAGAGGCCGAACACCTCCGCGGGAATAGTTCCCAAGCATGACGGCATTGTGGTGTCCCGAGTCATTTCGTAATGGAGCATCAGAGTCGAAACGTCGAGAACGGAAATCTTCAGCCTTCAAAGCGAAATCCGCTGGGTCGTCGTCGTCGTCGTCGTCGTCGCGTGATGCTAATGATAATCGTCGAGACCATCTGTGTGTCTTCATCGTTTTCCTTTTTCTTTATTATGATTCTTGGCGATGTATGGAGAAATTCCACTCTTTCGCGAATCACGATAGAATTTTCTATAGATGGTGTAATTTTGATAATTATTGTCCGACTGATCTGCGTTAGTGAAGTTGATGAATTGCAGAAGCAAATTGGATGGACAAAATTTGAATATTCTCGGTTCCTCGTTGCGTTGAAAATGAATTTTTTTTAACTGATAAAGGAGGTTGCTGAGGATTTTCATTCTTTCCCCTTCTCCATCTCTTCCTCTCTCTCTCTCATTTTCTATCTCTTCCTCTCTCTCTCTCTCTCTTAATTACAGAAAAATAGAAAGCTAACGAAAAATTTTTGGGTTCCTTTCATTCTTCGCATCGATTTCCTCCCCTTTTCACGAATTCTGCCCTGAGATCGAGTTCCACAGTGTGCGATGAAACTTGGATTTTCGGTGTTCCTCGTCGCCTTGGAAATGAACTTTTTGATTAATAAACTAGGTTTCACAGAGTTTTCAGTCCCTCTCTCTCTCTCTCTCTCTCTCTCTCTCAAAATAACGAAAAACTTTCGATTCATTTCACTCTTCATATCGATTTCCTCCCATTTTCACGAATTCTGCCCTGGAATACGAGAGTTCCATAGCACAGGAAGAAGCATAAGTTCTCAGTGTTCGCCTCGAAAACGGACTCTTTAAATTAACAAACCAGGTTACAGAGATTTCTCTCTCTCTCTCTCTCTCTCTCTCTCTCTCTCTCTCTCTCTCTCTTAATTACTGATAAAAACAGAAGAATAACGAACGTTCGTCTGGTCAAAAAAAATGTTCGATTCTTTCCACTCTCAGGTATCAAGATTTCTCCTCAATTTAGATATAATTAACGCTACCAAAATTTCATTTATATATGCAAATACTGGATATCGCTGTATCTGCAACGAAAAGGAAACGTAGTACCCTCTTTGCATTTACTCTTATCCAAAGTTTAGACCGAACGATTTTCCCAGTGACCTATAAAGAACGCTGCGCTCACTTTCTAGCGCATTTTCTTTTTCTCCAACTGTCTCGTTTATCTGAAATCCCAGGAAGGGTTAGGAGAGATAGCGACGTTTATCTCGAGCTGTAAACCTGTCGTCGGTTGATTTGCACTTCGAACCAGTTCCGCACGGATAGTCGCCTTCGAAGTCACTACTATCCTGCTCTTCTGTGCGAGAACTGCTTCTTTCGACGCCACCTGCAATTTTTAATCAACGAGTAATAACAGTATTCACCTGCATAATCGTTCTGTGAATAAATATTCATGCAAAGTTTATTTATTAGGACGCTTATTATGAAAATGTCGATTTCTAATCATTTACAAATTTATCACTCGTGTGATTACTAATTAATTAATTAACAAATGTTAATTTAACATTTGTACAATTTTTGATAAGTCACTGTTGGGAAATCTGAGAATAATTTTTCTTCGAATTTAAACCTTTCAATTTCATAAGCAAATTTAGGCCAATTCAATTCACACTCAATCTTTCCTTAGATATGGAAAATCTGAGAATAATTTTTCTTTAAATTTAATCCTTTGAATTTCATAAGCAAATTTAGGCCAATTCAATTCACACTCAATCTTTCCTTGGATATGAAAGATCTGAGAATAATTTTTCTTTAAATTTAACCCTTTCAATTTCAAAAACAAATTTAGGCCAATTCAATTCACACTCAATCTTTCCTTAGATATGGAAAATCTGAGAATAATTTTTCTTTAAATTTAACCCTTTGAATTTCATAAGCAAATTTAGGCCAATTCAATTCACACTCAATCTTTCCTTAGATATGGAAAATCTGAGAATAAGTTTTCTTTAAATTTAACCCTTTCAATTTCAAAAACAAATTTAGGCCAATTCAATTCACACTCGAACAATCTTTCCTTAGATATGGAAAGTTTCTACCGTGAAAATTTCATCTAAATATCTCGAAAAATATGGCGCCGAAAATTTGTTTAATAAAGCATCCTTATGCCGAGAGCGAAAGGGTTAGAAATTGAGAAAAATCGAAGATTTCGTGTGACAGAACCTGTCGTAAATTCGAACGAAACTATTCCTTACAGCTGGAAGCTCAGAGAATATACGCCGACTTCCAAAACCAAGCGTGGTTCCTAATTTCTCGAATCGACAGGAACAACATCAGGGACCCAACGATAAGAAGACGTCTGAGATATTTATCTGTAGTTGGACCGTCTGCTCTTCCTCCGGATCAATTAGACAGGGTAAATAGTTACCTAATTAACTGTAGAACGATCAATCAACACACTTTGCTCGAAGCAATTCTCCTTTTCTAATATATTCATCATGCATGAAACAGTTTCTCCTGTGCAATTAATTCGTTTAATGTTAGAAAAAACACCGGATCGTTAACCTTCGCCGATGAAAAATGGAAACTCCGTTTAATGTAATACGGAAAAAGGCTCCTCTATCTCTCTATTCTTCTGTCTTTTCGCGTAACAAAATTGACCGTAAGAAATAGGAAGTATTTATCACTTGTCTCCGGTTAGATTTCATTTTCTAAATAACGAAC